CTAGCTGCTGCAAGATGGGCAGGGCCACATGCCCCATGCGCCGATGCAAGGTGAGCCAATCACACTCCCCCGTAGCCGAAGTTGGATTGGAGAATGCCGCGCTCGCAATAGCGCCCCACATACTCTCTCCGTAGTCCTCCTCCGCTGCTGCCTCTGGGTTCTCCTCACCCTTTTGCTGCTCCTTGGTTGCTGCACCACTCTCCTTAGGTTCACTGAACTTGCTGGTCCCTCCAGGTTTGCTCTTCTTGAGCTCATTCTCCTTAGCGCTACCGTTCGCGCCATCGTCGCTACCGACCGCTCCATCCTTGGTGCTGATGCTTGCTGCCACTTGCCTCTCCTTAGGCATAGGGACCACTGGGATCTGCCACATCTCGTTGTAGACATCCCTGTCCTCATGAAGGTCCCAAAGAATTCGATCGCCAAGCCTTGCGGTGTAGGTCTTGGCTCCCTTCGAGTTCGTGTCCATGCCGGCCTTTGCCAACCGCCGCACGGAAATCAGGTTTGCAGCAAGGCTGGGCACCCAAAGCACGTTCTTGAGGCCCACCATCTTCCCATCAGCACCCTTGAACATGGCCTTGCCCATGCCTTTCACCTCTGCTCGCTGCCCCAAAGCCAATGTGACATGCTTCACCGGTGACGGCTCGAGTTCGGTGAGCAAGTCCGGGCGAGGTGTCATGCTATAGGTAGCGCCACTATCAATCACCCAATAGTCCAGGGGGTGTAGGGTCACCTTCCCCACAGCTGCTGGCTCCTCAAAGCCTTCATCCTTCTCTGGGCCAGCCGGTACTTGCGTCGACACGAAGTAGAATAGACCCGGGTATCGATCGTCGCTCGGGTCCTTGTCGTTGTCTCCGCTCTTCATGTTTGCAGCTCCGCCACCGCGACCGCCACGGCCTCCACGGCCTCGTCCTCTCCCTCCTCCTGCTCCTCTACCCTCTTGGCCTTGAGCAGGGGTCCAACCATCAGGGAGTTTGTAGCAGTCGCGCCACATGTGTCCGCTCTTGTGGCAATAGTGACACTCGCCGTCGAATCGGCCGCGACCGCGTCCGTAGCTCTTGTCGTCGCTGCCGTAACCGCCACTCCTGCGGCCTCCGCCGAAGTTGCTGCCACCAAACCTTCCTCCCCCTCGTCCTCTGCCTCTTCCTCGACCATATCCACGGCCGATGCTCGCTGCCCCAGCGCCATCCGCACTCGCCAACTCACGGCGGCGGAAATCCTCTTGAAGGATAGCTCGCTTCACGTCTTCAAGCGAGAGGCGGGGCAAGTCGCGATTAAGGTTGATGATGAGCGAGGACCATGACTCTGGGAGTTAGGCCAGCAACTTGGTCTTCTTTTAGAGCTCACTGTAGTTCAAATCAGCTCCCTCAAGCCGCGTCAACAAGTCGAAGAATTTCTGCACCCCTTCTTCAACCGCTTCGTTTTCTTCAATTCGTAGTGCCGCCATTTGCCGTTCCAACACCACCGCTACCGCCGCTGTTGCAGGAGCATGTACACCCTTGAGAGCAGCCCATGCCTTTGGTCCTTTCTCTGGTTCACGCTGGAATGGCTTGATGTGACGGATCTGACTGCTCCCCAACGCTTGCCCAAGTAAGAGATAGCCTTGTGCGCTCTTCCGCACCCACGGGCTCTTCTCCGGGTCGTTCTCGGGGCGCTTCTCCGTTCCTTCCATCACCTCCAGCAGGTCATAGTGGTCAAAGATGTTCTCCATCTTGAAGGACCATTCAGCAAAGTTGTCACCGTTGAACTTGTCAAGCCCAAACACCCTAGGCTCATCCCTAGGTGGGCCAAGACTTGGTTGCATGGGCGCCATGGCTGAATCACGGGGTTGGCCTTGAGCTTGAGCTTCTCCACTGCCACCAGCACCTCTGCCACCCCTTTCCTCAGGTCCAGGAATTGTCGAAACTGCTCCAAGGGCCTCTGATACCACTTGTTATAGTCACAATAGGCTTGAATGTGCCTAAAACGAAAGATAAAGAGCACAGACGGATTTCTGCACAGCGGCTTCAAACGTTGATAGCGTTCTGCTCACAGTGCAAATGACTTGATTCAAATTGGATCTGGAGCGTCTTCACGTCGTCTACAATTAGCAATTTAGATTGCACGATTTGATAAAGAATTGACGACACAGCGTCGGTTTGAACGAACGGTACTATGGCAGCCACTATAGTCTTAGAACACAAGATAGGAAGAGTTACGAGTTGGGAATGACTCCCAGCCCTTACAAACCCCAAGAGCCGAGGTACAGTGATGTGGAACAGTGCCACACTGTCCCCAACCACGAAGGGTCTCGAAACTACCCTTCACTAGGGCCTACACCAAGTGAAATGTTACACTACACAAAGTAATGTAACTATCTTCAATATCTTGAGGTGTACCCTTTTGGCAAGCTTCGAAATCACTTGAGGCTTGACACCAAGGCTCGGGCTCTTCTTCACAAACTCATCCTTGAGTTCTTGATGGGTCTGCTGCACACACCTGCGACACGCCGAACGTTCGACACAGGACAAAATAGAAACCGCGCACGACAAAATAGAAACCGCGCGCGAGACACAAACGACCGCGTAACACGCGTCTAGCGATAACTCGCTATTGACTCGACACACACTCGACATCATGACTCAACATTCACACACAATTATAAGCATGAAATATATATTATCCCATGCCCTCATACCATTCCATACACACACACATTCACGCACACGGACAACAAGCCGAGTGCAAACCGTAGGGTTGCACCAACACAAGCAAGCTCCGCGGCTATGGCAACAGTACCTACACGCTCGCCTCATTCGCATCGGCTTCCGCCAACTACCTCACGACCAAGGAATGTACCGACTCACTAAAGACACCGACTACATTCTGCTGATCGTCTACGTAGACGACCTACTCTACATCGGCTCCACTGACAACATCACCACCTGGTTCGAAGGGGAGCTACAGAGGGACCTCACACTCACGGTCTCCTCTACCGTCACACAGTACCTCGGCTTGAACATTCGAGAAGAAGAAGGCGCGATCTACCTCAACGCCGCTAAGTACGCCGACACCATCGCCAAACGCTTCGCGCTCACACCTACCACCATCTCTACGCCCTACCGCTACGCGACAGGAAACCACAAGGAAGGATCCTCTCTACTCAAATCCGCCGGGATACGCGACTACCAGAGAAAGCTAGGATGCCTTCTCTTCGCAGCTGTCACCTGCCGCCCCGACCTCTCATACTCCGCAAGCCAGCTCGCCACCTACCTCAAGAAGCCTGAAGCAGAACACCTGGCGGAGCTCGACCGCGCTCTCCACTACTTCGTCAGTATCTCAACGATCGGCCTAACTTACTACAAGAACACAACTACACCGACTAAATTAATCGGCTACGTCGACGCTGATCACGCTGGCGACTCCGACAACAGGCGCTCCCGCACCGGCTACATCTACCGCCTCGAACCTATCGGACCGATCTCCTGGCAATCGAGCAAGCAGGAATTAATTGCTCTCTCGTCAGCTGAAGCAGAATATATTGCACTCTGCTCAGCCACCAAGGAAGGACTCTATCTTCGCGAGCTGCTGGAAGAAGCGAAGTTAGCCGAGTTACCCAACTTCACTCTGTTCTGCGACAACCAATCTGCAATTCGCATCGCCAACAAAAATGGATTCGCGAACAGAACGAAGCATATCGCTCTGCGATATTTCTTCGTGAAAGACGAGATTGAGAAGGGGAGACTTGAACTATCCTACTGACCCACGTCCGAGATGGCAGCTGACTACTTGACCAAGAAGCTCGGAAAACAGAAGTTCGAGTACTGCATGCTGCTGACTGGACAAAGCTACGTCACCAGCAGCGACACTCCAGAAGCGAAGGGGAGTGTTGGGAACAAACAATCTTAAGCGCCTCTGTCGTGTCGAAACACCAAGGCACAAGCGAAGCAGAGCATATCAAGGCACCAGCGAGTCAACCCTCGGAGGTTGAAGTAACCGCTGGAGGTTACGCGAAAGTCAAAGGTCAGCGACCTTTGACTTGACAAATGCAGCGCGACAGCAAGGACACACAACTGACTCGACATTGAGCAGTTGCCCGAGTCGCACTGTATCGAACCGCAACAGTAAAACAGTTTAATTATATCTCTTCGTATTCTTTGTACTCTTATATAAACCTTTGTACTTGCTTGTTTTAATCAACTTACTTTGCCCTCACATACCAGCGCAAGGTGGTTCAAGGACTTCATTTAAACGCTTCCGCTACTACATCACTCTACCCAGAGTTTAACCCTACCAAAGATCCTAAGGGGCACTCAGCCCAACATCAATGAGGGGGGCTTGAGCTTGGTGTATGCAAGGGTAATGTAGCTTAGCATAATGAGCATTTCTGGCCGTGTGTGTGGTGCTTACACACAAAATGCCAAGGTGTGGCACTTCCATAGGCAGTAATAACACATGTTGTGTGCCTAGGGGATGAGTAGTTAATGCTGTGAATAACACCTGGTTGAAAACAGGGGTACTATAAGCTGGAAACACCACATCTAGGGTACCATATTCTGGGATACCATTTGTGTAGGCTGAGGAGAACTAAACTGCTCCTTCTGCCTTAGTAGTACTCCACGCAGAGGAGCTAATGTCTGCCCGTTATAACAGAGTTGACTACAGACTCAAACAGTCTATTCTGCTCCTACTCCATGAAAAGGAGCTAGCATTTGCCCGTTATTAACAGCAATAAAAGGCTGCCGTCAAACCTCCATGCATCTCCAAAGCATGCTCCAGCATCAGAAGCACCCTCCTGTGCCCTTCCTCCCGTCAACTAAAAAGCCATCCCCTGGGCATTGAAATTATTCGTTTATCGCCACCAACTACCACCATCAAGCCTCCTCCATCTCTGTATCCATTCCAGTCTCCGGCATTCACAGCACCCTCCTGTGCCCCTCCTTTGGTCAAACGCACCCCTTATGCATTGCATTTATTCATACAGCCGCCAGCCACCACCTTCAAGACTCCGTCTCCGCTTCCATTTAATTCTCCAGCATCCAAAGAACCCTCAGCGGCTCTCCTTCAGTCAACTGAAAGGGGCCATCCCTCGGGCATTGCATACGGTATGTTCATACAGCCACCAGCCCCCACCGTCAAGCCTCCATCTCCGTTTCCAACCCATTCTCCAGCATCCACAGAACCCTCCGGTGCCCCTCTACGTCTGGAACTTCATCTGCCCCTTTAGTAGCAGACTCGATATCCTCCTCCAGAACCATGCTGATGGGGTTTCTGGTAATCCCGGTATCAATGTCAATAATCTCCTCCAACCCCTCGTCAATGGCTCCTCCCTCTTTATTGTCACTCGCACTGTTCGCCTCCACCTTGCTTTCTTCCAAAGCTTCAACGTCAGATCCTTCCTTGTTTCCGTCTCTTACTGTAGCCGTTTCAGTCCCATCCGCGTTATTAGCCTCAGGCTCGTTAACATCGTCGAACACCTGCGGCTCAGGCCCCTTGATGTCGTCCGTTGCAGCAACGGACAGCCCTCCTTGTTCCGCCTGATCCGATACCACTACTGGCGCTGTTGCTCCTTCCGCCAATCCCCCGTCTTCCGCCAATTTCCCCGTAACCTCCTCTGTCACTCCAGCATGACGCGCGTCGTTCTCCGGAGCGGCTTCCTCGTCGGGTTTCACCAGAAAATCGAGATCCTCCTCCCATTCCACATCGTCATCCTCGTCATCATCGTCAATTCTCCTAATCCCAAGTTCCGACATCATTCCAGACGAGTAGTCCTCCGTATCGTCTTCCGGATCCTCCTCCGCATCCTCTGCCGCGTCTTCCGCGATCCCGTCGTCCGGCTCTGTGACGTCATCGAATGCCTGGAGCTCCGGACCATATCCCAAGTCGCCTCCGCTGAGTTCGCTGCTGCCCTGCTGCGCCGCGTCCCGAGACGATTCGTCCGACTTCGTGGAAGCTTCGTTAGCGGCATTTCCAGCGGGTGAAGACTCCACGGTTTGCGTGTTTCCGTCTTGTGGGTTATGGTCGTCAGCCAAATCCTTCTCCTCTGACGACGAATCGTCGTCCGATATAAGCACATCCTCCATACTCACCTCGAGGTTATCGGACGCGGAGGCCGATTCGGGCGAATTTGTTTCGGGCCCATCCTTAGCCAGCGCGCTTTCAGCGCTCCATTCAGGATTACTGCCATCCACGTCGGCAACGTTATCGTCCACGTCAGCGACAGTCGCTTTCACGGCGAGAAGTTTACGAGCCTGATGGGGTAATGTATTGAGCTCGAGGATTCTGCGGCTGAGGTCCGGGCCGAAGCTGAGAGATGAGGATGTTCGGGGCGCGACGTGGGTGGAGAGGAGAAACGCAAGCGCAAGAACCAACCGCAGACAAACTACTTGTCTGTTGCTACTCCCCATATTGGTAAAAAGCTGCCTTCAGTTGCTTACACGACGTCAAGTGGGACTGGATCGCTTTGGGAAAGCTAATGCTGTCGCGCGACTCAGAATGCCGTAAGTAATCGGCGTCAAGATTACCAAAGATGCACGACGGAAATTCGAAATCGTGTTGGAACCAACGATGCAGGTGTGTGTAAGTGCGATGAATCAACTGTGCTGTGCTTTCCTGCTTGCGGGATGGGATGTCTGTCATAATTGGCGTTTCGCGATTCGGTTTCCGCGCCGCCTTCCGTTCAGCCACAGGTGCCACTGCCAGACTGCCAGTGCCATCTTGACCTACCTGGTGCCGTGACTGCTGCTCAAGCTGGGCAGATGGTGGTGAGATAGGCTTGGTGGTGCAGGGTGATGTGACCGCCACGTCTGATTGGTTCCTGACCTGTTGTTCCCCTGAGAACCACTTGTGGAGTGTGGGTGCTTGTGGTTGCCTTGGTGCACATTGTCGAACCGCATGGGTACAGCTCTGGCAGGTGTAGCAAGAGTGGCAAATTATAAAATTATAACATTGTACAACCTATATCGTCATCCAATCTAAACATTCGTTCCAATCATCTTCCTTTCTTACAATTTCACATCTTGTCCCTAAGGAGAGCTTTGCGCACACCTTGCCATCCATCCATCATACACATGCGGCATGTCGTTGATTCAACAGTGATTGCCATTAGGCGCCGGAAAATAAACGATGGCTCTGTCGGCGTATGACCTAAAGCGCGAGAAGCGCTATAATCGCAATGGCTTGCATTGCTTTTGCGTGTTACCTCTTTTAGTGATGACTAAGAACGCTATGAGGTGGGGATAGCGGCGAGGATGCATGTGCTTCAGTATATTTTTGGTTAGGTATTAACTTTTGACAAGTGAGTCAGGTGAGAGGGGTTGGGTTTGAACTTGTCGCTGTGTCAGAAGTCTAGAGACCCTGTCATTTGGTTACCACCATGTACCTTTTCTAAACTTTTGGCCTTTCCCCTGCCAAATATATACCGCCGCTAGCTGTGATAAAATCAGTATGGTTGCATGAAGGCATCATATAAAACTCGAAAAGGTAAAATAAGGTGGTGGTGTCGCGAGGGTTGTGGGCGAGGGGCAGGGAGAAGTACAGTATGTATTCAAGCGCGTTTTATCCACTGAGCAGGGCAAAACTGCATGAATGCCTTGCCCGCCCTCCTGCTACCGAAAGAATGGCCTCTTGCAGTTTATGTGTTTGAAGGAAACCCTTGCAATAACAACGGGAAAGAAAATGCATTAATCTAGACAGACTTCTAAGCCGTCAACAACTCAGACGGACTGCCTTGCACCCAGAGACTGCGTACATGTCCCTCCCAAAACCACAATGGAGTATATACAGCCACAGCCGACAGACCACCACAGGAGAAACACCCCCCTCCAATAAATATGCTCCAGGCTGCATGGAATATCACTTGGTGGGGTGGTATTAGGACAGCCCAGCTGCATTCGACTACCCAGCTTATTACTGTTGACTCAGGTCACTAGGCAAGAAGCGTTGCCCGAAGAGGGGGTCAAACAGCCGGCACGCATCGGCCTTGCCAAAGAGCGTGTACCGGCTTTCAGAAACGTTCTTGTAGATGAAATTGTGGAGCGCGTGCGGCGTGATGTGGCCTGCGGCGGCCAGCAAAGGGAAAGGTGGCTTCAGCCGGGAGAAGATCTGGAGGATTGCGTCGGAGCCGAAATAGGCCCTGGAAGGAGAAGGCAGAAGGGTGGAAGGTTGAAGGGGGGGGTTAGTGCAAGAGGATTTGCGGATGGTAACGAGAGGGTGTTGAGCTGCAGAATGTTCCAAGGGGGGACTTGGGTGCCTGAATGAGCGCATGTGAAAATGTGTGTGCTCTGATTCGGGTACTTTGGTGGTAAGCGATGGGCTACATGTGCCGAAGCAAGAAACATGTTTGAACTGGTTGCTGATTTTGAGGCACCACAAAAACACTTTGTAGATTGTACGCGGTATAAGCCGAAAAACACGCGTGAAACTCACTTGTTGTGTGCGACGAGGACAATGTCCGAGTGGTCGTTTTCGTCACGACCTGCGCGACGGAGTAGGGCCTTCCCCGAGTCGCCCTGCAGCGAGGCGAAGCGCAGGTTGCTGCAGGAGAAAGCAAGGAAACGACAAGACACGAAAAATTGGGTGAGTTCAACATTGAAGGGGGAGATGCAGTTAGCGGGGAGGAAACAACTGTGGTACCGAAAAGCGCGATGCGAGGAAGATGGCCGAGGCGATGACGGTCACGAAGCGAAGGTGGTGAGGGAGGAGCGGGAATATAAGGGGACGAGAGGAAGGAGGGGGAGTGGGGGACGCGGAGAACAGGGAGTGACGAGACCAAGGGGACGAAAAAGATGCAGAGAGGCGGTGGCTTGGGGGAAGACAGCAAGACAGAAGCGGCGTCTTACCCGTGGGGGTCATAGTCGAGAAGAAAGTTGACCCACTTGTTACACAGGTTGCACACGCCTGGAAACCGGACGACGCGCAGGATAAACATCAGCACGAGAGACGAGAGAAGATAAAGATCATGGGTGTCAGATTCGCCAAGGACAGTAGACAGAGAGCGGAAGGAGACGGCGCAAACGGGCATGGCTTTGTGAGGAAATGAAGCAGATTAAGGTTCAATTTTGCATCAAACATGGTAGTCCGAGGCTTGCGGTCTCACCATCGAAGAGGACAACAGGCCGCAAGTCCGATTCAAAGAACTGATCGCCGATTGCCTCCATGCGCTTCGAGTACCCAGCCCGCTGAAGGAATATATTAGAGAGCGTAGCGATAGCGAGAGAGTCTCTGCTATGGGAATGATGTTGCGCCAGCAACTTGGTAGAGTTTTGGTAGCGTTTGCCTCTAAGGACTTTGTGAGAATTGAAGTAGCATTTGGGCCAAGTAGAATTGCAATATCAATTATCAAACACACAAGCAAACACAAACATATATAGGCAAGCAAGAGTTGCACAATTGTTGCGTGGCGCTGCGAGTAACCCAACCCACACGAAAGTGCTGTGCAGGTGGGTGAACGCGCCCCGCACATTTCCAACCCAACTCGGCACCGGAATGTCTCACCGTGCACGCTACTCCTGCCAACACAGCAAGTGAGCAGCGTGCCTCACAAGCAAGGCACCTACGACCCCCAAGACTCGTCATTCCTAGCACCGATTCCGCCGAGTTCGCTGCAGTAGCTCACAGTCACCCGTAGTCACTAATGACCGCCACCGAACTCGTGCGTCGGTGCCGAGTAGACTCAGTCGTTAGGCGCCGACCTGCCAAGTCAAAGGTCATCGAGGGCCCTCTAACACTCCCCTGCCATACTACAGCAAGGCCCTTTATAATCACAGGGCATGCATACACACATACACACCAAAACAAAGGGATACACACAAACGAAACACGCTCAAAGTGTAAACACGCACCGCACCAGCCATGGATAGGCCATGGCACCATCCACATCATGGAGTGTCTAGGTCTTCACTCCCCTCACTCGAGAGCCGCACCTGCCCCACAGCCTCGAAGCAACGACTGAAGGCGGGGAAATGCAATGCCTTTGTGAGGTAGTCAGCAGGCTGCTCGCTCGTAGGGATGTACTGCAGCTGCAGCTTCCTACGCTTGACCATGTGCTGCAGCCACATGTGACGACGCTCCATGTGCTTGAGGCTCCCCTTGAGCCCCATGCCACCTGCCACTGAAATGGCGGAGGAGTTGTCCACAAAGAGAGTCGTGGGCTCCTAACTCCTCAGCAGTTGAAACTCTGCCAGCAGGAAGCGCAGCCTGCGCGCCTCCTTCCCAGCCTCCACAGCAGCAACGTACTCAGACTCAGTGGAGGAAAGGATGGCGCAACGAATCCGCTGGCTCGCCCATGAGACAGCAGCACCCCCGAGCACGAAGACATAGCCACCTGTGCTGGTCCTGTTCTGCTTGTCCCCTGCATCATCAGCATCGGCGTAGCCCACCAGCTCCAAGGACTCCGGCCCACCACCAAACTCCAGCGCCACATCCCTGCTCCCCACCAAGTACGTCAAGCACCGGTCCAACTCCTTCCAGTGCTGATCACTCCGCACAGTCTGGCCCGACCCCAGCTTGCTGCAGGCGAACGAGATGTCGGGACGGGTGGTACAGGCCGCGAGCTGCAAGGATCCCACCTTCTGCCTGTACTCCTCCTCCTGGCGAGACTGCCATCCCACATCCTCGAAGGTCTGCACACTGAAAGGGTCAGAGGAAAGAGGGGTGCGAGGCACTCGCAGCGGCTGCTCCCCGTCAAAGAAGCGCCTATGGACCTTGTCCACATAGCCCCCCTGGTGCAGCCACAGCCTCCTCGTGGGCCTGTCCCGAATCAGCTGCAACCCCAGATATTTCTCCACAGGGCTAATCTCCCGCAGCTGAAAGGCACTCTGCAGCAGGTCACGCAGCTCCGCTAGCATGCTCTGACTGCGGCTGGCAGCAAGCAGGTCATCCACATACACCAGCAGCCAGCACATCTCCCCCTCAGCATCAGTCTTGAAGTACAGAGCCTCATCCACCTTGCTCTTCTTCCATCCAGCCCCAAGCAGCACCCCATCCAAGGCCTCATACCATAGCATCGGGCTCTGCTTGAGCCCATACAGACTCTTCACCAACTTACAGACACGAGGAGTCCCATCCTCGTAGTAGCTCGGCT